ATTTATCATCAGTAGTATCCATCATCAAAAAGTAGTATTTAGCAGTTTAAAGCAAAGGGAACGAGATTAGACTAAAACTTCAATAAAAATCTGAAAAGTTAGGCAATTTTTCTATTTCTAGGTTGTCCTCTTGTTGTTGAGAAAATAGCAACTTTTTAAGCAAAAGAATCGCACCGGAAAACTTTTTCCGATTGTAACAAACGTTGTGTAACTATTTGTGCAAATGTGATCAAATATCCAAAGAAAATTGTTTAATTTCAACAGCTGATGCAATGCATACTTATTCTTTGTGCTTGATTTATATAATTAATTTAATGCATCTTTCGGCATCAATATATTGCTATCATTTGTAATTATAATTAAAGGTAAAACTTGTTCCAAATAGTCTTTATTAAACTACGTTTCATTTTTTAAAAAAAATATATATATAAGTTTTAACATTTTTTTCCCGCAAGAAATTATAGCAAAAGGGTTAACGAAAAAAATTTTAATGTCAAAACAAAGAGATACAAATTTAAACCCTCAAGAAACTAAATGTTATTTACCAAACGTAAAAATGATAATTTACTGATTTTAAATAAATCAAATTTTTTCATCCTTAATTACATTTTCAAGTTAACAATTAAGTTTAATTATTAAAATAATTTTTAACTGCGGTTAACCGAATAATTTTTTAATCGGTTAACCGGTGTGGGGTAGATAGAAAACCGGTACGGTACGATTATGCAGAATTTTTTCGCGAAATTTGGATTGTACCGTACCGTACCGTACTGGTCCTATAATAACTAAGCCTCATTATAGGACTAGTACGGTATGGTACGATGTCAAATTTTGCATTTTGTATTTTTTCTTTTTTTTTTTTTATCTAAATAATATATTTTAATTTTTATTTTAAAAAATTCCTTCCCAGTATATATATATTTTATTAATTGATTTTTTTCTTTTTTTCTTTATTTTATATTTTATATTTTTTTTTTTTAAATTCCCCCCGGACTTTTTATTTTAATTTCATTTTTTTTAATTAATTTTATTCCCCTTCTACCGGACTTTTTATTTTATTTTTATTTTTTTTTTTAATCTATTTCTTTTCTTATTAATTTTTATTTTTATTTCATTTATATACTTTCGTTTTCATTTATTTATTTGATTTATTCATTTTTTTTTTGCAATTCTATACTTTCGTTCTCATTTTATTTATTTGATTTTTTCATTTTTTTTTGCAATTCGTTTCTTTTTTATTTCTCTTTTTTTATTTTAGATTTTTTTTCTTTTTCGTTTTTTTCAAAAAAATAAATAAAAAGAATAAAAAAAATGAAAATAAAAATAAAAATAAAAAAAAAGATTTCCGCGGATATGGCATTTAATTAGTAAAATGTGATATAATGATTTTTTTTTAATATTATAAAAATATCAAAATTCATTGTATTTATAATAATAAGTAATAAATAAAAATAAATTTTACAAAAATTTCATTAGTTATTATAGGACCAGTACGGTACGGTACGATGTCAAATTTCATCAAAATTACCGATCTGCATAATCATACCGTATACTCTCCGGTGATAGTCGCAAATCGTACTGCGCCTCGGAGATCTCACTCTGCGGCGAAAATCATGAAAGTGATAGATCACGTATGACACTTGGATCACTTGTATTATTACATGTATCGACTTTTTATTACATGTATTACTTAATCTACAACATAGTTTTCATTACATGCATCATATAGTACTAGTTATCAATTTTATATAAATAGACCTGTAAGTTAACCTTGAGTCGATAGAGTTCGATCAGATAGTTTTCTGAATAAGTCTTGGGACTTATAACTCTATATACAGAATTTGATGGTGATAACTAGTTAATCGTGATAATAAAATCATTTTGTTTGTTAATTGTTTATTTCTCTTAGTAAAGGCCTTCGAGATAATTGAGATTTAAGATATTTAGTTTGTTAGCTTGGTTTCACTACAATTCCAGGTCAATCACCGGTTAAAATAAGTTTTAATTCTGGTTAACAAAATATGTTTACCAGTTAAAATAATTAATGACGGTTCAATACACTAAAGAAGTGTAAGGTATAATTACTAAACCATTGTAAAGTTCGAAGTTTTATTTTTTATACACTTTATAAGTAAAATATAATATGGGGGCTAGTCAATAGAAAAGGAAGAAATCTAAATTTTGATAAAATTTTTTTATTGGTCCACTTGACTGATCACAATCATGTGCTTAAAATTAGCTTAGGAACTAAAATTAATGAAAATTTTAGATTTCCTCCTTTTTTACTGACGAGCTCCCATATGTAGATCAAATGTCCCAATCTGTAACCTTGTGAGTTATTTTTCAATCCATAAGTCAACGAGGAAGTAGGTTTCGTATTTCACCTCTTTGTTCACAAAAAGAATTTGTATCCAATAATATTACTCTAATCAATTTGTTGTTTGACATTAATTGTTAATATTACAAAAAATTCAACAAAGAATTAGTTTGACACTAATCTGTTGTTTGATGTTGTTTGATGGTTTCTTTAATTGCTATAATAGAAATAGAAGCAAGAGATGTTGCATGGCAAAAAAGAAAGAATAGTATAATTTGGAGAAGGTTGAGCTTAAAATACCAAATATCAGTTGAATTAGTCAGCAAAGATTTCAAGAAAAATTATATCTTTCGTTATCAATATACTTAAATTGCTTATTTCATGTTCCAATGCTTTCGTTACATAAAATATACAATAAATTAAATATAATTCATAGTCAAAAAAAAATATATATATATAATAATTACCTTATTTTTACTTTCTTTTTTAATACATTCTCTTTACATACAGTTTCTTCAAAAATGTTATTAGACTAAGTGACATTTGTTTATTTTGATATAAAGGAATAAAGAAATTGAAAGGGATTTCTTCGAAAACATGTTTAAAATTTTGGATTACAAACAAATCTTCATTCGATATTTTAACACCTCCTACATTTGACAATATTTAAACGAATTTTCAATATTAATAAAACTTCTGAACAATAATTACTCATCTCGAATTTGAAGTAGAAATAAAAAAAAAAAATTCTAAAAAAGCAACAAACAGTTAAACGATTATTTTTTTCTGACTGGAATTTTGTTTTATAAGGTCTTCTTTACATTTGCATAGAATTGAAAATATAATAAATTTATCGTTATATTAGTTATTTAAACTCAATAAACCACCCAATAGAAACAATTATAATTGATATCATTCGTTAAACAAAAAAAATTACAACTTCATAAAACATATTTAAAAACGAAAAATTTATTCTACTAATTAATAGTAATTTATTTTCCCAAGGATTTATTGCTTAAATTCATAAAATTAAAATGATTAAGAGATACAGCTTGGGTTTTTATCCTATCTACATTTTTTTTATATATATTTTTTAATTTTCAGATATTTCATCAAATTGTATCTAAATATTAAATTAATATTTAAAATGGGTATCTGTTTATATTAAAGTTAATTACCTCAAAATTTCTTATAATTTGTTTTGTTCATTATTATTTACGCAACGCAATGCTATTTAACCAATATCATTTAATAATTGCTCACCCGTGATATATAATTTGAAAATCTTACTGGAAATTTTATATCGATATCAATTAGTATATAATTTACTAATAAATTTTTTACGAACGTAAAATTTTAATTAAAAGTTTTAACTATTAATGATTAAAAGCCTAACTAAAAACTTCTGAAATAGCATTCACTAAATATTGGATTGGTTATTGTTATTATTAGTACGTAAATATGATATTTTGAGGAATTGTAATAAATGCATATTATATATTCGAATTTGTTGCATTAATCCATTAATTTCTTATTTTTGAATGTCGTAAGTTTGTAGATAATTTGGTATTTTATATTTTCGTACTGCAACATTATTTCGATGTACAGTATGTTCATAATAAACTGTATTTTACGAAAAAACAGAGCCTATTTTCGTTGCTTTTTCTTATTTTGTTATTTGATAAAATAAACTTGCTTTTTTATATTTCTACATTTTAGACGACGTTTTAGATGTTAAATGTGGATTATTTAGAAGCTTAGGGTAATATTAAATTGTGTAAATTATTTAGAGCAAAGGAAAAAAAAATGATTACTAATAAAAGTTTATTTTTATTATGGTTCCAGCGTTATAAACCATGAAATATACTAGTTATTTACCTTCAATCGCTGATCTCACAGGGATCTCTAATTTCGCGCGGTAATAACTATTACATAATTAACATTCAAGATCTTTCTATGACTTGGAATACTTCATAATCGTCTATTTGGAATATACTTTCATTTTGTCTAATAAGTTTTTCATAGCTTTTTTTGTAACATTGGCTCTGTTTATCCTTGTGAAGCAATCGTAAATCAGCTTTATCTCCTCCAAATTCAGGACCATAACTAGTATTGCAATAAATTGCATGCTTTTCATCAACAACTTTTCTGAAGATGAAGCTTTTTAAGTTCTCATCCAAAGAAAAAATAAAACTGTCTTCATCTTTGCTATATTGATTATTAAGTGATTTCCAATTTAAAGATTAAACCCTCCAAGAATTTCGTTCGTGTCTTTAACGCTTGCAATAGTAATTGTAGGTCCTCTATCATCACAAAATTTATGAAAAGTTTTAACTTCAAAACCATCTCTGCTCCCACGGACAAGTAGTTTAAAATAATAAGTGTTATTATATTTTTGTCTCGCCAATTTTATTAAATCGCCAAGTAAAGAACCTAGATCAGAATTAATAATTACAGAATCAATATTTGTTGAAAGAATATTATCATAAAAAGAATAATATTCAAGAATATGAACATAGAATCATTATCAAATACAATCTTGAATGGTTTGATTTTCTGAACAAAATCTGTGAAACTAATTTCCTTAAAATTTATATGTGGTATGAATGGTTGAATAATATTTCCAAATATTGAATACTTCATTATGTGCCCATTTTGTAATGTCTGATGGTAATTCATCAGATTATGCAATACTCCATAACATTAATTTATCCCAAATTTCAATTGATTTTACAGAATGGTTGTTTTTCACGAGAATATCAAGGAGAATTTCTTGTTTGATTGTTGCGAAATCATCTGCACTAAAGATTAAAGAGAGATCTTGTTGAATATTAATCTTATAGAATTGGACTAGTTTACTAAATTGAGTAAATCTAGTTGCAACATCTTGAATGAGAACAAAATTCCGTTTTAATAATGATTTGTTATCGTTATCAAGAAGATATTCCTCAATAAAAGTACAGAGGTCATTAAGACATAATTCATCGGCTGTAATTAAAATCGCAAGGTTTGTTTTAATATCGTTGTTGGAGAGATTAATAACGCTACTATAAACGTACCTAATTAATTCAATAAAATTCATGGATTAATTTCCATAATGTGATTAAAATATTACATCGAGAACAAGCAAATTACTTTAAAATAATTTCAAAAATTTCAATAGAAATATTCGGTTTTTGAAATTTTAGAACACCGTTTTCTTTTTTTAGTCAATCGTTAGATAAAGCGATACGGAAATAAGCAGAACGAATTTTTAAAATTTGGGAAACTGCTTTAAAGACTTTAGTATTGGGTTCTTCTCCAACTAAAAGTTCAATGTCAGAAAATTCACCGGATTTAAATATATCAGCATATACTTTAGAAGTTAATATGAATAATTCAATAGACATTTTAAGTTTGGACAACCATTTTTTTTTTTTTTTGCTTGCGTATTATAAATTTATGTTGTGCAACAATATTAGCATCATAAAAGAACTTGTGTAACTTTCCAATTAATTTTTTATGGTTAGATTATTTTCAAATATAGATTAGAAATTACGCAATGCATTATGCAATAGCATAACGGACAGTGATTTAATAAATAAATACTTATAGCTGCGCCTTGATTAGAAGTGATAAAAATTTTCCGTCCTTTCGTTTATATCGCAAGAATTAAATTTTCAAATTTTCTTTTAGCCGTAATAATAGGATGATATTATTTTCCTTTGATTTTTTTTTTTTTCGGAGGGTTGGTCTAATTGCTTTTATTTTTTTTTTTTTGTTTTGTTTCTATTTTGTTTTTAGTATTTATTTTACTTTTATTTTATTTTATTTTATTTAATTCGCTTTGTACCGTAACAATCGAAAATATTCTGGCCTATTGATTTGATTATTTTTTTTCCTTAGGTTCTTCGATCACTTTAGGAAACATTATTTTTTTATTTATTGACAGAGAATTTTAACTTTTGATAATTCCTTCCTTACTATCGTAGAAAGTTTAATGATTCAATTGATTCCCAATCCCCATATTTAATTTTCGGTTTTTAGATAAATAATGATATATTAATAAGAGCTTTGTGATAATTCAGTATATTGCAGTTACTGAAAATGAAGAAAAATAAAGTCTCATAATATGCTAAATCAAGGTGAAAGTTACATTTTATTAAAAATCCGTGACAATTCAGTTTCATTTTTAGAGAGTGATATATTATCTATTTAATTTAATTAAAATTTTAAAGTTATAGAGTCGGCTGCGACAAATAATGCGATACGAAACATATGGAAACAATGTTAACATGTCTATCGCATAAACAAATAAATTATTTGTCAGAACATTTACTGCATAATTAAATTCAAAAATTCATGTTCTTATCGATGAGTACAGTCATTGCAAATTCCGGGAAAGTGATGCAAACACTCGAAAAGGATTCAAAAAGATGCAATTAAGATGAGTCATTATTCATTATCGATCAATTTTTATTACGCTTAACTGGCTGCAATAAAATATAATTGAACTTCTATGGGAATTTTCATCGTTAATAACTCATTAATTTGTACTATAAAAAAATGTGTGTACTGATATTTATTCATACACTTTAATAAAAAAAAGGTTCTAATCAACTTCCAAATTAACTAAAAAACGGACCGCAAATTTCATTCATCTCGTAAAGAAGTTCATGAATTATGTGACAAAATACTAAGTCTTATGCTTCTAAAAGAGGTTCCCAAAAAATTCGATCATTTTCGTTTCGCGAAAAAAACCTTTCTAAATCGGCTCTTAGTTCTAGCCAAAAATTGAAATTCGGCTATAATTTATGCCTTTTATTTTTCTTACTATTATTACGTAAGAAAAATAATAAATTTTTAATTATTCTATAATTTTTACGCAAAGTTTAAATTGTGCCTTACTCACATTTATCCTTATAGTTTATCACATAATTTTTCGAAACAAAATTTATCAATAAAAATAAAAGAAGTTTTTGATGAATCAATCATATGAGCTGGCATACGATTGTAGTGAAACATTTGTCATACCGTGTCGCATTATTTTTATTACCGTAAGTAAAATTTTTTCGGAGTTTTGTCAAATAATTATTCATCACATGGTTAATTCTTAATTCAATAATGCTGGCCAAATGTCATGTGCTAGTGTAAAGTGTCGGTGATACTGGGGTAAATTTATTTTCTGATTCAGAATCAGTTGATTACAAATATATCTATTGCATTTAGTAATCCCTAATCTGCGTAATTATTCTGATGACGAATTAACCGAAAATGAAACTTACATAAATTACATTGATATCTTTATTATAATATAATTCCACCCAAAAATGCGCCAGACGAAAATTCTTCTATTCTAAACTACAGGTTGCTGACGATTTGTCCATTTTCTCAAGCTAGTTTCAAAATGAGTCCGACGATACTTAGAAGAGATTTGTTGTTGTATTCCAGGAAACGGAAAGATGAATTTTATATACAATCGGTTTCTCTTAGCAAGAAAATTTTTTTTAATTCTCTCCCAATACCTCGCTCGCTTTCGACCTTTTAATAGTATTTTATTATATATTATATATTTATATTTTATCCTTCATATTGTGATTAGATTAGCATTTATTGAATTAATAAAAATTGAAATTGCGAACGTGTAAAACACCAACGTTGAGGTAATGATTAATAATTTTATTAAATAATTTAAGGCGTCATAATATTATTTAATTGCTTATTATTAATATCCTTCTTACAGTTATTATAATATAAACGTAATGAACTGGATACCACAATACCCTTTATTTAGAAAGTTGTTTCGGGTCCTATAAAAATAATATATTTTTTTTTTATCTTTGGAAACACGAAATTCAAGGACAAAGCTAAACGCGTAAGATTATCAGAACTTGCGTAAAAGCCTCAACTAATGTTCAATGTTATGCAATATTTATTTTTTAAAAAATCTATTGATTAGCATAGTTTTTAACTCAATCATTCAATAAATATTAAAATATTCCTTGATTTTTTGATTATATTGTAATTGCTAATTTATTCCATTAAAAATATATCGATAAATGAACTTATACCGGTATGTAATTTTATTGTAGTTGATTATGTTTAAAAAAAAATAATATTTTAGAAAATTAATATTTGATGTTTATCTGTTAAATAAAAATTAAATTAAAAAAACACTTATAGCTTTAAAAAATTATAACTTCTCAAAGGATTATCTAAACATTTAATCAACTCAAGCTAAATACAATAAATAATGTTTTAGTAATCCATACTGAATGAATTTATTATAAAAGAAAATAATATAGTTTCATATAAATTAGTTGGAATGATTGAATAGCTATCATATTAATCAAAATGCATTTTAAATGACGACTCCTAGAGAAGCAAATCGACACCTTTTTTTTTACCAAAAAATATATACAGTATATATATATGTGTTAACAAATATTCATCTTATACTAACATTCGCATTTTAACTTCAATAATTGAACATATGTCTTTACAATTGAAGGTTGACATAATGTTATATGCAGAGATTTTATGATTGAGATAAATATAGCCAATTGTTCTTTCTGATCATTAAGAAATACATCAGGACATGCAATCCAATAATTTATTTATCCAGTTTATCTTTATTTTACTAAAAATTCTTTTAAAAACCTTATTTACCAAACCAAATACTTGAATATTACAATAATTTCCAACACGATTTATCTAATGGCTTAAAATAATAAATAGTCTGTATTTGTACCAACTCCGACTTTTTGAACTTACAAATAATCTCAAGTTCATGATATAACTGAAAAAATTTTAATAGATTTAATAGAAGCAATCTTAACTAAAACTTGATTATATGGTCCCGTGATATTTTCTTAAAATATGAAGATATTTATGAACAACGCTAAACAAATTGTAAATAGATGAATTCAAATCGAAAGTATAACTTTCTACAATTAATCATCATACAATCTGAGAAATTTCAAAATTTTTAAAGCGATTCTGTGGTTTATGAATTACAATAAATCATAACAGCTTTGCGTAAAAGAAAAATTTTTTTAAAATAAAAAATAAATTTAATTTAGCAATAATCAACCAGGAACCGTTAATGATTTCAAATCAAAAAATTGAATTTAATTATTAATATGATTAAGCACTTTAGACATTTAAATTCCATATACCATATTTTCAAGTTGATCGTAATCTTTGATTTTAAATTTACTTTTATCTAGTATAATCGGTTTTTCATAACTTTTCTCGTAACATTCACCTTCTTTTAAATTGGGCATAATGTTTAAATCAGCTCTCCCATCTCCAAATACCATCCCATACTCGCTTCCACTATAAATTGCATGATTATTATCAACAACTTTACTGAAGATAAAACTATTTAACATTTTATCCATAGAAAAAATAAAACTATTTTTAGTATTAATATATTCTGGCGTAACATTTGAAAACCAATTTGAAGGATTAAAACCTCCAAGAATTTCGTTCGTATGTTTAACTCTGACAACGCTAAGTGTAGGCCCTATCATATCACAACACTCATGAAAAGTCTCAAGTTCAAACCCATCTCTGCTTCCACGAACAAGGAGTTTAAAATCAAAAAAAAGTATTATTGTTATGTTGTTTCGCGATCTTGATTAAATTGCCAAGTAAAGAAGCTTGATCAGATGTAATAATCTTAGAATCAATATTTGTTGAGCAATTAATATAATTAATGCAATGATATTCAAGCATTTGAACGTAGTGATCATTATCAAAAATGTTCTTGAACGGTCGTACTTTACGAACAAAATCTATGGTGCTAATATTTTCAAACCTAATATATGGTATAAATGGTTGAATAATTGTTCCAAATGTTGATACATCATTTTGTGTCCATTTTGTAATGTCTGATGGTAATTCATCAGATTGTGCAATACTCCATTTCATTAAATTATCCCATATGTCATTCGTTTTCACAGAATGCTTGTCTTTCACAAGAATATCAAGGAGGATTTCTTGTTTGATTTCGGTGAAATCGTCAGCTTTGAAGATTATAGAGGGATCCCGTTTAATAACAATCTTACAGAATCGAACCAATTTATTAAATTGAGTAAATTGGGATGCGACATTTTGGATGAGAACAAAACACCTTTCTAATAATTTTTTGTTGTCAAGAAGATAATTTTCGATAGAAGTACACAGGTCTTTATCACATAACTCATCAGCAGCAATTAGAATCGCTACGTTTGTTTTAATATCGTTTTCAGAGTGGTCAATTTTTTGGTCATACAAATATCTAATCAATGAATATAACCGTTATTTTGCATGAATTTTGTTAATTTACAAGCCAAAATATACTTACTTTATAATAATATCAAACACTTCAACAGTAATATTCGGTTTTTGCAATTTAATAATACCATTTTCTATTCTCTTCCACTCATCTGATAAAGCAATACGAAAATAAGGCGAACGTATTTTTAAAATTAAAGAATTTGCCTTGAAAACTTTTGTGTCGGGCTCGTTTCCAACTAAAATTTCCGTATCTGAAAATTCGACAGCTTTGAGAATATCCATTATAAAATTATGTTAAGATAAAGCGACAAAAAAAAGAATGCGCTGTATTTCTGTATTTCCAGTTTTTAAATATAGAAATATTCACAAGCTAATGAAAGTCATTCTTATGTCATAGTGACCAGGTTAACCGGTTAATTAACTTGTTGAAATTTAGTTTACCAGTCTAATTTAATCATTTTAATTCTGGCCAAGGTCAATAAAGACAGAAATATCCAGCCAAAAGGCAATATTAATACACGTTCGGAATGTAAATTCGCATATGACAGCAATGAAACATTCTCAAATTTTTTAGATAATATTATTTATTAATACAATAAAAAAAGGAGAAAAAATAACGCAAATGTATACAAATTTTAGAAAGAGACGAAGGAAAAAAAAAATCGAAATGAAGTAAAATCAACTTTCTTCAATCATAGAACTCCGAAATTTAGACGACGACTCGTTGGGGTGTTCCATATCATATGTCGATCTTAATTATAAAATGTCGTATATACTGTAAAAGATTTGTTTAAAACGGATAATTTAATGGGTAACAAATAATGTCGATCATGTTAAAATTGCAAAAAAAAAAATTTAACGAATTTAACGCACATTTATTTAAAAATATAAATTTATTTTTAAAATTAATAAATGCTTATGAAATTATTTATCTTACAAAACAAAGTACAGTCGTCCCCCTTTATAGTCACACCCCTCGGGACTAAAAATAAAAGGTGTGATTATAATAAAAAGTTAATATACGGATTTTTATATGTTGTTACTAAGCGTTGGTTCTGAAAGTGTGTTACTATAAAAATACTGTGATTATAAAGGGGTTTTTTATATAGGTATTGGTTTTAATGAGAGATTTATATGATGTGATTGTACAGGGGGTGACTATATAGAGGGACGACTGAATTACAAAAATGCCAATTAAACAGCATGCGGCAAAAATTTGAACATGATAATAATATTAGCTAAAAAATAATTGTTTTCAAAATTACGTTATAATTGCGGGGCAAAACACTAAACCCATTTTGGCAAAAGTCGAAACTTATCAGAAATTATTTCGAGTTTAGATGGGTTTCTATTGTTTCGATGGGTTACAATGGGTTTCGACGGATTTCGATGGATCTCGAAGTTTCGACAGTTTCGATAACAACTTTGAGAATTTGAAGGTTTTAATAGGTTTATTGTACTGATGTAAAACGATTTTTTTTTTTGCTTTTTATTTTATATTCGAACAAAGTTTTCAATATAATACATTATTTATCGAGCAGGTTTTAAATTTGGAAGCACTGGTGCTTGTTGAAGAATTAGAAAATTACTTTATGAAGAATGATGATAGAGTTTATTTTTATATCCGGATTAATTTAATTTTAAAAATCGGATCGAAATGTTCATTTGTGTCAAATGCGGTGTATTTGGGGCCAATCATATATTCCAAACGATTTTCGCATTTAGGATATCCCAGATTTAGGGATATCCAAAATGCGCATTTCGGACAACGATACCTTTACTGAATGAACATATTTACCAATTTAAGGGATATTGCATTATTACGTCATTTAGTATGACATACATAAAGTTTGTGCGACACATTCGATTGTTAGAAAACGAGAAATGCAATAATATTAAATGGTCCTCATTTTTCCACAACTTTTTTTAGTATACCTTCTAACCAGTTTTCAAAGCGTGAAACTACAACAATAATTAGATTTTTAATCAGGAATGGAAGTAGAGATATTCTAGTATATGTTTTAAGATCAAGGTTTTATTTTTTAATTTATAATTTTTTTTTTGCAAAATTCGTAATTATTATAAATGAAAATGGATTATAGGAAGAGGTTTGCGCCTAAAAGAGAAGCATGTTAAGCAATATATTTTCGTTTGATTAGCCAGATCTTTTTGATAAAATTACTTTATCAAATGCACCTATAGTGAGAGAAACGTCCAACATCTTAGATCACCTTTGCCCAGTAATCAAAGAAATAAATTTATTGCAAAACATGTATATTGATGAATATATATGTCGAAGCATTCTCATGATTCGGCGAGAGATTATTTTATTTAAAGAAGGTACGTTAAGAAATTTATTATGGATTTGTTTTTCTTAAATCTAAAGATTTTCGAACGAAAGTTTATATTTTTTTGCGCTGATATGAATTCGATTTCTGGTTAGTTCAGTTTCTAGATGAGTTTTTGTTTCTTAAAATATTTTCCAAATATACACTTCTTCATTTAGAGCTGAATTATTAGCCATCATTTTATCTGCACCATTATATTCACCAACATACTTAAACAGCCAATCATTCTTTTTTACTACCATGTCAATAGAATAATATAATGTGTGCCTGGTTAGATCGAAAATAAAAGAGGAAGATTAGTTTTTTTTCCTCAGAAAGCATCGACCAGGCGGTCGGCTTCAGGGCGCAGCGAACGTACGATCGCCGCGTCTCTTTTCTTTCCTTTAAGTTACCCTTTTCGGTTGGATCACTTATTAGGTAATTTATATCTTTTGGTTTTCTTTTTCGCGGGTTATTACGATGGATGATTAGATTGTTATAGTATATTATAGACAAGCTTTTTTCCTTTTTTATTGATTATTATATTAATTATATTAATTTTAATTTTTTTTTTTTAGATTCATGACTTAGATTTTTATTTTTTTTTAAATGATTTTTAGCGATTTCTTTCAGCATCAAATGATGCTTTGGTAAAGATTTTTATTTATAAATTATTGAGCTTTCTTCATAAATCAATGTTTTTTTCATTTTCATTTTTATTTTTTTCGATTTCTTTCGATTTAGGTAACCGTAAATTTTCTTTTTTAATTACCACCTTTTTTAGATGATTTCTTTTTAATTTGTTTTCAGTCCGCGTATGTTTGTTTTGTCTTTGATTAACCATTCATTAAATTAATTTTTTACTTTTTTAAAGTAAATTACTTTAATTAAATTTTTGTCAGATTAGCTCGCTGCATGCCGTCTTTCATTTTGTTTTTTCTGGGTGCGAACACAGGCGCAACGGTTTAATGATTTTGGCCCTTCAGGTGTTGGTTCGATTTTTTTTTCTCAAATATAATAATGTAATATATCATGACGCAACGGTAATGGACCTTCTCGGACTTCCCTGGTTTATTATAAAGATAATAAAACCCATTTTTATTTTGCCGGTAACCTAAGCAATATTCGTTATTTATACGATTTCAATTGTTCATTGGTAGAAGGTGCAGTCTAGCAAATATTCCTAAAGTTTCGAGTATTTAGGACCTTGGAGAAAATAATAGAAAGAAGGAAAGCTAAAATCTAGCACTTCCCATGAATTGATATGGCAAAATCTAATTGAATTAAGTTATTTATTCTATCGATCGGCCAATTGTCAGATTGGTGATCTAGGTTAATACATTTTCTATAGGAATATATCCAGAACAGTTTAATTTTTGGTTATCAAATTAGCTGATTATTTGCTACTTTTAGTACTCGTTAAATCCTCTGACGAATTCTTAACTAGTTTCGCATAATAATACCAACTCAGAAAATGAATCAGAAGCTTGACCATAAATGTAAGAAAATAAGTTAATAATAACCATGAATAAATTATTAGCTTTCCTGTTAGTGTTCACATTTTTATAACCTATTATTAATTATAAAGTAAGTGGAAAAGAACACGTCCTTCTTAAGCCAATGCCTTCAGTGGAAATTTCACGATCCAGCCAAGTATATTGACTACCACTAAAAGTTTATATAACAATACTCGATTCATGATTACTATTTTCGTTATATAATGGAATCATTCAAATTTTAGATTTAAGGAGCCTCCTTTGAAAGGTATATTAAAAAAATTTGCACCAGAGCCAGCCAAATATATAGCTGAAATATAAAATATTTCTTACCTATATTTTTTATTTTAGAAAATACAATAGTGTAAATAAGTCAAGGTTAGCAATATCTCTAAAAAATTTTTAAAGAGATTCCTCGCTTTCTACCGTAAAACGACATTTATTATAATCAGTCATTTTAACATGACCAAACTGCTAAATCTCTTTTTCTTTTTTTAAAGGAAAATTATCAACAATCAAATTAAAATCTACTTCCAAATAATCGCGCACTCGTTCAACCTTAAAGTTCTGTGCCAAAACTCGAAGAATTACCAAGTTTAACACGTGCCAATGGTTATGTAACATACTGGTGTCCCTAATCTTAATTAATAATTACATTATCTTGTTCTTTTCAAAATTTTTTAATAAATCAATCGTATGTATACTAACGGTTATTGTATTTGCATATTCTTATATAAAGTTTGAATACTTCTAATAAACTGTTTATTTTACAAACCGTTCGTTTGAATGAAATAATATAGAATACAAACAAGTGGTGATGGCGCAATCTTATATTTGTCTTATTAGTCCAGAGCGTTTTGCTAAATTACCATTTATTTTGAAAATAACCTAGTTAAGTATACAAAATTGTCCATTTAAATTCTGAATAAAATTAATTTTTTATTATAGATCGACTATAGGGATTGGCCAGCATTTACTGTTTTATTTAATTAGAACGAGAGTGTAATATCAATGAGTTCAATGTAGTGCCAGTAGAAACTACAAACGAAATTTCTCCTACTACTAAACGTTCAATTGCAATAAAACAATCCCTCTATATCTCTCGTTTATCAGTAATCCATTTCCCATATTTTCGATTTTAATGTAAGAATCTTATTTTTGCATACTTTTATAATAAAACATTACTTAACTATTTTTTTTTATAGATAAGCATCATCAGAATCGCAACTTAAAGGAATCATTTTTATAGTAACTTCAAGCGTTATCAGAGATTACTTCAAAGTTCACAATAAGCAATGTATTTTGCCAAACTCATAGTACACGGTATAATTATCCGGTTCAGATAATTATACTTTGCTGCTCCACAGTAAAAGTAAGTATAATTATTTATCTATGCTATTTGCATATGTATTAAAATTACATTAAAAAAAAATCAACTAAGCATAATATATTTACTAAAAATTTATGATATTAAAATATCACTCATTTAAATAAACATATTTTAATATTGATAATAATAATTTATATACTTTTAGCAAGAGTAGGGAAAAAACTTTAATGCTCAAATACAAAGAATTAATTATCCGGTGTTATCCCGATTTTAAACCAAAATCAGCTTAACCAAACAACGATTAAATCTAACTAAGACCCGTTCCTAAGAAAGATTTATACAACAATTTACTTTATACGATTCTTTGTGTAGTTGGTTATTAGTCAGGATACGATAAAGTTTGAAAGTGTAACTTGGAATTTTATTCACTTCGGACGTCTCACCTCTCAAGACTCGTCAACCTTTTTCTTTGAATAAAGCGGATTTCGGGGTTTATATGCAAAATTTCTAAATACTAATTTATAATAAATATATCAAACATAATAAAAATAACGAATATATCAAAAATAACAATTATAATAAATTTAATAAAAATATATAATAAAACAAATATAAAAACGAAAACAATTACAAATATTTATTGATATAATTAATAGACATTATCAAATAATATTGACGCATTAAGGTAAGTTTTTGAATTTGAGTTTAAGACTACTGAAACAATTATTATCCAATGCTCATTTGTCAGAAAAAAGAAAATTTAATTAAGAAATATCAAATACGATCTAATTAAAACTATGGTGACTATTGGATTACGTCTGCCACACTAGTTAAGTGGATATGTTCTGAAATAGATAAGGAGAATTATATTTATAGTTCATAATTAAATTCTTTGTTAAATAAATTTGAATAAAGGTACAGTACATTAATTATCAAATTCAGGATATGGTTGGTGTGTTGAGATTAAGTTTGTTTTTATAGTAAAATTTAGAATTTTTTATGACCAAATGTGATTTGTAGTTAAATATTTTAATTTTCAATCCTATCACTGAATTAAACTCTTTAACAATAAATAATGAAATCAAGATCATAAAAGATCACAGCTTAAAGTAAATAAGAAGTAAATATTTACTCGAAATCAGACCAGTCAAAAATAAAGTAATATATAATACTAAATAAAAATACAATAAATGAAAATAATTTAAAATAATAAGTAAAATACAGAAAATAAAAAAAAAACTACAAATGCATTTTTTTTAAATCTAAACTGATCTTTTTTTTTTGTCTTGCGACTATTACATGTATATTAAAAAGATTGTTAAAGAGAATTTTGGATTTGTTAAGAGAATACCTTGTGCCTGTCCGGTTCTTTCTGCTTCAGGTGAATATCTGGAAGTCGCTACCATAATACCAATTTTAGGTTTTCACGTTTGGAGAGCACTCCTGCAAGCTCGTCTACAACGTTGCGAGCTAATTGCCCAATTTTTACATTGGAATGAAAATTTTTAATCCTGCAGTTCTCCAGAGATATCAATCCCACCATCTCCAGGACTACTAAAATTATAATTTAAAAATGAGTATTTACATCATTATTATCGCGAATTAAGAAGAACGTTCAGGAGTCATTTGCGACTGAGACCATGAAGTGTTTTTGTTCTTAATTAAGTGCATAGAAATCTTTTTGGAAAAGACCTTCAACAGAGAACATCAAATTAGGGAAGAAAGTTCACGGTCAAAACTGTGACCATGAAGAGCTTTCGATTCCCTATTTTACACAAAGCGACAGCTAGCTAAAGATGCATAACGACTTGATAAATAGTTCAGTGAGATACTCACCCATTTAAATAATTTTTGACGCCTCCAGCATCCAATGTATCGACAGTTTTATTTCTAGTTCCTTTCCTTTCTCAAAATTATTCATTGTATTTGTTATATAAATGAGTTAAGATTTTTTTTTTACGACTATAAGTTACAATCGCGTATATATCCCATTTCATAATGTGTCATTTTTTTTTACCTTTGCAACTATAACTAACAATCGTATATACCACCATTTTCGATAACAAACACGAATTTTCATAACTACTATCGTTCACGTTGACCAAATCAACGTATTTCTCTCGTAATTCTCTCATCGTCATTACATCATCCACATCAGCATTTCGACGGGTGTAGTTCGACCCGTCGTGGTGGGTTCTTCTTTATCGCGCTACAGCAGGAAAGGAACAGCATCAGGATCTTCTACTGGTGGTATAGGAGGGAGGTAGGAAGGAGGGGTGGGAGGAATAGGAGGAAGGAGGAGGAGGAGGTGTTCATATACACACGAAATTACAATTTTTTTTAAAACAGCCAAAAATAATTTGTATAAATAATAATACATAAATGTTAAATTAATAAAAAGGAAAAAATAAGATTTGGAAACTTCTAAAGTATATGTTCGCTTTTTTGAGCGAAAAGTAAAGAGTGAGTGAAAAGTAAAGAGAGAATGCGTTTTGAAATGTTTCAAGTGGAGTGGATTTTTATGTGCTAATCTATCGGCAACAACTATTACTTATTTTGGAATATTATAGAATAAAACGATAGTCATATCGATTACTAAAATTTGGAATATTTTCTCCAATTATAAATTATAGTGAATTATTATTAATTTTTTTATTTAACAATAAAAAAAAAATTGGAATCTTTGAGGATGACATCACTATTTTAAAACTCGCGATAAGATTTATGACGTGCGTAGCAATTTGCTTGGTCAAAATACCAACCAATTTTCAGTCAGTTTTCTTTTTTGAATTCTTTGATTAAGTTTCGATTATTTAGTGCAATAACGATCCGATATTTCATTTGCTCTAAACTTTAGTTTTTTTTTTTTTATTATTAATATTTTATATATGTATATATATATATATTTTTATTCTTTTTTTTTGGGTTCAAATGATTAATTAAATTTTAACATTCCAGTTATCAGTCTCTCAAACATGGGATATCGCTAATGCTTCTTTCGTCATGATGATATAACAACGTGTTAAAAGTTTGGAATTAATAAGATGAACCAAATTACGACTTTACAAATATAATTTAAACTGCTCTTTTTCAGGTAAAATGACTATTTAATTGTGGTTTTTCATTTGATCTTTTATACTATTAATTTAGAATCATTTGTAAAGATTTACGATTCCTCAGGAATCATTACATATAGGTTTGAGAGATCAATAGTGACATACATACATATATGAAAAGCAAGCGAATAGAAAATATCATTGATAAGGAAAATAAATTGTGATTTTACGAGATTAAAATAAAACCCCCATATTAAACGAGCTGGTAGCACTGATTGTTGAATCAAAACATTTTGAATAAATTATTCATGTTTTGTCAAGTATCTAAATTAAATAAAACATTTAAAAACGATAAATACGAAATTTTTTATTGAAATGGTAAATTATTGAATTTTCTTTTTTTCTTTATTAATTATATATTAATAAGCCAAAATTTAATGCACTGCCAATTTTCTTTTATGGCATTCTTCCTGTTAAAAATCAACTGATAAATTATTTAGATAAATTACTTTTACAATTACAAGATTCTGCTTTTTTTTTTCCTTTCGGGTCTTTAAAATATGTGACACAAATATTTTGAGCTACGTTATTATATCATGTGTAATAGAATTTGAAAAAAAAGGTTTTTGAGCCTATATAACGGCTCTTCGTCTTGCACAATTTATAAAGCTTGAAAATTTTCGTTTTAAAATGTCATAACTGTACTGTTAAACTTATTTTTTTTTTAGATGAATCACAAATAATCAAGTACAACTTCAATAATTAATATATATTTATTCTCGATGCATACTTCCAAAAGCACTCGCTATTTCCAAAAAATTTATTTGGATTTTACTTGGTATTATAGAGGTTATCAAATTTTATTGAATATTTGAAACATCATATTTTCTACTATGTACAGTACTTCGATTATCAAATTGACTGGAAACTATCGACCATTAATAATCGACTTAATCAAAAAAAGTCTTTAATAGTCATTATGATTCCAATCTTTCTCCTTATTGGATTATGCGTATGGATGGTTTGCTTTACGGATCATGATTGTATAGAAAATGACCCGTAAATTTTTTAATATGAAATTTTAAATTATTTAAAAAATTATAAAATTTTCATGTTTCGTCATCATCGTCATCATAAATTTGAAAAAGAACCAACTTGAACGTTACGTAATAAAATTTCATGCGCCTATAACAACAATTAAACTATGAAATATTTCCAAATGTTATAGTTTACATTTCAAACGACGATATTTCTATTTTTGCTAAACTTTTCAAACGTACTTTGACAAGATTTGCATTATGGTAATGAGTTTAACAATATTCGCGAAAAAAAGCTTGACCTACGGGTTCGAATTCCCGTGATGTTCATTTTTATAGACAAGTATTACCCCAGTGCTATAGCGTATTTATAAGAAATTATCTTTATGAGGTCGTCCCTACAATAACTCTTAAGAACTGTCTCCCGAATTCCTTACTCATCCAATATATTCAATAATTCTTAGATTACAAATATCTTTTAATTTGCATATCGATGGAACCGTGCAGGTTGAACTCTTCCATTTCTGGTGGCATCCTTTATAATAAGTTAAGAGCGATAAATGCATACGCTCCCTAGATTTGCCCATCCATCCTCTTAGAAGTGTTTGTATTACAGGCGAAGTATTCTTCGAATAGTTTGTTTCTTTAATCGTACTTTTTAATGCTCATTGTTGACATTAATGGTTTTCAACTTTAGTTTTCTAACTTCTTTTTCTTTTATAGGTCCGAAAGTTCTGAGAAAAGAGATTCGACGCATTAAATTTTACGTCTAAAATTGATTTATTCTCTGCAAAATTGAGAGTGTGACCTTACTGAACTTGTCAATTAACTTTCCAACAAAAATTTTTTTTTCTTTTTTGGTGGTCTATAAATATGAACTGGAAATCCTTAAAGAGTTCAACATTCCACGTTCATCTTCTTGTATTTGCATATGTTCCTTTTCCCTTTATAATTTTAATTTGTAACCATTTATTTTTAAATTTCGATTTTCTTAATATTTTGCAATTCACAGTTTTAAATATTCGTATTGTTAGTGATCAGTATTTATTTAGTTTAATATATTGACATTGCGAAAGTGTAGAGCGTCGACGTTGAGGTAACACTGATTATTTGATATTATTAAATCAATTTAGCATCACAATTACTTTATTTTTATTCAATTAAATTCCTTCTGCTTACAATACAAAATTGTTTATAAATACGTAAGAACAAAAAGTTTATTAATGTTAAGATAATCATCTTGATTTGAAACAGAATAACTATTTTGATTCTAATGATTGTGCCGCAATAAGTTGATATCAATCTGTTAAACAATCTTTTTAAACATTCTTACCTTGTTCTCGTTAGTCAGAATTTTCCAAATTGAAATAATTGAATTGTTGATTTCAAATTTAGATTAATCTTCCCTAAGCAAAGCTAAGCGGAAGTGATCACTAATTTTATCCCCACGCTACGATTGCTGGTATATTAAGATTAGTTAGGGCTAGGTTTAGGGTTAGTTAGTTAAGCTTCTTCTTTTTCCAGACAAAAGTCAACTCATATCGACTAGACTAAAAAATTTAAAAATAATGCAATCAATTTCTACGTCAAAGCAATGCAATGTCGTTCTGTCTTGCATATTGATCAACCAATAGAATTCTGCGTTGCTGGTCATGTGTTTCACAAAAATTGAACATTAAAAAAATTAATAATTTAATAATTTTTAATATAAGTCCTGTTATTCTTCGGACTAGAACGGTTACCGTTTCCTAGCATTAAGTAAGATTTATGTATTTATGGTAGAAAATTTTAAAAAAATCAAGAAATTTCTCCTCGAATTGAATCGCAAGTTCATGGGTTAAAATAGTTACGTAAGGTATATATAATTTATTAATAAAAATAAAAAAAAATACTAAACAATATTCTTCTATAAAACTTTTGAAATTTCTTAAAACTAATACATAAAATTGCATTTAAACAAGTTAAATATATTGTTTCAACAATATTAATTAAAACTTCACATCATCATATCGGTACATAATACGCTGAAGTTAAAAATATATAATAAACTTCAATTATTGACGTCTAATATTACAGATAAATTTATATTAGTTCATACTTTGAATCACAATAATAAATATCAATATGTCATATTACCTCTTAATTGTAATGAGCTAGAATTCCTAATCCAATTAAATGAGAATCTTGAAATTCTGTTAAAATGCATTGAAATAAATATTTGCTATTGAAAATAAAAAAGTTAAGCATATATTACTTTAATTATTCTCATCCTTTTCAAGATATGATGATGAATTAATAGGTTCTGTCAATTTTTAAATGTAAATGCTCTACTTGTATATATAGCATCAGGATTTGTATTACGAAAATTAAAATATTCGGTATCTCTTTATCTGCCTCTTCAAATGCTTCCTTTATTTCTTTTTCATAAATCCATACTTTTAGTAAATTTTATACTCTTCATATTTAGAATTACTCTAAAAAGATAATGTATCTTGCTATTCATTAGCTGTTGGTCTTTGATTTGTATTTGCATACATCTATCAGCTAATTTCTTATAAAATTCAGGGGTTTCTTTTTCAAATTCTGGGCGAAATCCATTACAAAAATTTAAGGCTAAAGATACATCATATTTTCTATCATAAAATGGAAGATTTTCAGATGATAATTCAGCTATAACCATACTAAAACTGTATATATCAGAAGCTAAAATATATAAATCTCCATTTAAGACTTCTGGAGCAATATATGATAATACTCCATATATTTTATCATCTAATTTTTGTTTATCTACTGGTACTGATAATCCAAAATCTAAAATATAAGAAGTATGACTATTTTGCAAGATATTTCCACTATAAAAATATTTATGACAATATCCTAATCTATGTAAATCATATAGGTTACCAATTACATTATATAATTTATTAATTTTATATTTCCATAACATGTTGTTAAATTTATTTGAAAGATAACTTCTCAAATTTCCATCAGGTGCAAATTAGAAAAATATTCTTATTAATTTATATTAAATATAAAGTGATATATCTT